AGTCATGTGTCCCTAATGACAGGAATATATTCTGAGAGATATGCATCATTAGGTGATTTCATCGTTGTGCAAGCATCAGAAAGTGTACTTACACAAACCTAGGTGACATAGCCTACTACACATGGGACCACTATACTATGGGACCACCATTGTATATGCAGTCTGTTGTTGACCGAAACGTCATTATGCGGCACATGACTGTACTTTATTGAGGATCTGTGTTCGCAAACTTTCTTTTCACCTTCATTTTTTTAAAAAAATATTCCATTGGTACATTTAGAGCATTTGAATTTAAAGCAATTGTTTGATATAATTGGATTAATAGCTACCATGTTTTTTAACTGTTTTCTACTCATTGCACTTGTTCTTGGTTTCCTTTTTAATCTTCTCTTTTTCTGCCTTCTCTAATTTTCATTGAGGATTTCATGATTCTATTTTCTCTTCTCTTGGTATATCAATTATTCTTTTTAAAATTGGTTTTCGTGGTTGCCCTAGAGTTCACAATATACATTTACAACTAATCTACACCTCCTTTCAGATAACTCTATACTACTTTATAGGTAGTGCAGGTTATCTTCAAACAGAGTATTTCCAATTCCTCCCTCCCATCCCTTTTAACATTGCTGTCATTCATTTCATTTATCCATGTTAAATCATCCAATATATTGTTGCTATTACTACCTTAAGCAGTTATCTATTAGATCAATTAGGAAGAAAAATGAAATTTTATCTTCATCTGTTCCTTCTCTAATGCTCTTCCTTTCTATATGTAGATCCACATTTCTGACCTGTTATCATCTTCCTTTCTTCAGAAGAACTTCTTTTAACATTTTATGCAAGGCAGGTATACTATGAGTTAATTCAGTTTTTGTTTGTCTGAGAAAGTCTGTCTGAGAAGGTCTATTTCACCTTCACTTCTGAATGATTATTTCACTGGATACAGAATTCTAGATTGGTGATTTTTTTTCTTTCAACACTAAATATTTCACTCCACTCCCTTCTTGCTTTCATGGTGTATGATTAGAATTCTAATGTAATTCTTATCCTTGTTCCTCTATAGGTAAGCTGTTATTTTCCTCTGGATTCTTCCAAGATTTCCTCTGTCTTCAGTTTTCTGCAGTTTGAGGAAAATGTGCCTAGGTGTAGATTTTTTGGTATTTATTTTTCTTGGTGTTTCTGAGCTTCCTGGATTTATGTTTTGGTGTCTGTCATTAATTTTGGGAAATTCTCAGCCATTATTACTTAAAATATTTTTTCCATTCCTTTCTCTCTTTTACTTCTAATATTCCCATTACTTGTATGTTATACCTTTTGTAATTGTCCCCACAGTTCTTGAATATGCTATTCCATTTTTTTCCTTCTTTTCTCTCTCTACATTTGAGTTTGGGAAGTTTCCGCTGATGTATCATTGAACTCAATGATTCTTTTCCTTGGCTGTGTCCAGTCTAATGATGAGCCTGTCAACAGCATTCTTTATTTCTGTTACAGTATTTTTAATTTCTAGAATTTCCTTTTGGTGCTTTCTTAGAGTTTCCACCTCTCTGCTTACATTACCCATGTTTTCTTGCATGTTTAGTTTTTCCATTAGAGCCCTTAACATATTAATTGTATTTATTTATTTATTTATTTAAATTTTTCCCCCCAAAGCCCCAGTAGATTGTCGTATGTCATAGCTGCACATCCTTCTAGTTGCTGTATGTGGGACTCGGCCTCAGCATGGCCGGAGAAGCAGTGCGTTGGTGCGCGCCCGGGATCCGAACCCGGGCTGCCAGCAGCAGAGCGCATGCACTTAACCGCTAAGCCACGGGGCCAGCCCATAATTGTATTTATTTTAAATTCCCTATCTGATAATTGCAACATCTGTGTCGTATCTTAAGTCTGATTCTGATGCTTGTTTGTCTCTTCAGACTATGTTTCTTTCCTGCCTTTTAGCATAACTTGTAGTTTTTTGCTAAAAGCTCGATATGCATATTAGAACTGAGGTAAGGAGGCTTTTAGTGTGAGGTTTTATGTTAATCTGGCTAGGAGCCGGGCTGTATTTAATATTTGCTGTAACTGTAGGTGTTAAGAGCTGCAGTTTCCTCATTTTTATTTTTTCCCCCTGTTGTCTTTGGGTTTCCCTAAGAACTCTTTCCTATATAGCTGTGTTCTGCAGCTCTTTCAGTTGTAATCCAGTTATTATACTGCTGAAATGGTGGTAAGGTATTGGGGATGTGGAGTGTTTTATACCTTTACTATTAAATTTCAGTTTTTTTAGTAGGCCTGAGTCCCTGGCTTGTGACCTTCAGAAGTGGTTCTGAACCTTTTTTTTTTCTTCTTCTTTCCCTGCCCCCTTCCCTGACATGAGATAGGAAGGTAGAGGGGGCTGGAATTTGCCGTTTCCCTCAGAGGGCCGAAACGTGAGGGGATCTTTCTCTCATCTTCAGCATAAGAACTTGGTGGGGCTTCTGGACGTAAACCTCAAGAAAGTGTGGGGGACAAACCTCCTAAGACTGGGTCCCCAGGAGTTTTTAACTCACAAGCTATTCCTCACTCAGTCTCCAGCAATTCACCAAAATTACCATAAGTGTTCCTACCAGTTACTGGCTCCAGTAGCTCCTCTGTGCCCAGTAAGCTGATCTTTGCTGTGCTTCTCTGTATTTGCTTTTTCTCCAGATTTTGAGGTGGTGGTTTGCCCTGTGACCCTAATTCTATAATGGATCTAAGAAAAGTCACTGATTTTTAGTTCAGCTTTTTCTTGTTGTGAGGATGGGAGTGATAACTTTCAAGTTGTTTACTTGTTAGCACTGAAACTGGAAGTCCACTTTCATTTTTCAATTTTTTCCCTTAGCATTTTGAAAAAAAATCATTCTACTTTCTTCAGTTGCTGCTGTTTGGTTAAATTGCCTCTCCTTTGAAGATCTTTTTTCTCTGCCTATTTGGTGATTTTCTTGTTAACCTTGTTAATCAGCTGGATTTTATTTATATGTTATGTGGAATTCAGTGAGGTGCCTGGATATGGGGTTTGGTGTCTTTAACAATTCTTCAAAGTTTTCAGCCATTATCTCTTTGTATGATATACTTTCCCTATTCTCTTTCACTTTTCATTTTGGATCTCTATTATGTCAGACAAGAGCTTTTTTTAAACTGTACTGTCAATGGTTTACTAATGTGTTAAGATAATGATCTACTATGCTGGTCACCACTGGTTGCAAGTGGCCTCATTCCTTTACCTCAGTGTACTATGCTGTACAAATGCTATTTTTTATGTTCCTTATGACAGGAGAAAGAGTTATGAAGCACTCTTGTAGATCTCCTCTCTCAGTCATGCCTCTTATCCTCTTGTTCATTTACATATATACATAATACACACACACACCCATATATACATTTTAAAAACTGCATTCTGGCTAATTTCTCCAAATATTTCAGTTTAAATGTGTCTAATGTGATTTTTAGATCCATCCTTTCTTTTTTTAATTTTACTTATTTCCAACCCTTGTCTTTAAACTTACTAAATATTTAATTTACCAGGTTCTGCAAATACCCTCTAAGAGAAAGCTAGCTTCAGAGTGCAGCTTACCTCTTTGGGTTCCTGCCTGCACTTAGTTTTTAATTTTTTTTCATCCAGCATTTTCAGTGTGAGGTTAAGGTACCTATTCCAGTATTCTACTAGAGTAGAAGTCTCATTATATCTTAAAGTATGTATTTTCACCCTCATGATTCTATTCCTTTTTTTAAAAAAGAACCAATGATATGTAATAGTTAAATTTACTTTTCCTTATCATCTACAATGAAAAAAATACATATAGCTCAGTGAATCTGGTATGTATAAAACTTAAACCATCATTTTTTACAAATAAGATTGGTTAGTATCTTGGCACCAACCTATACCTGGATATTATCAATCAAAATCATGATCAGAACTTGAACTGTTTACCCAAACAACATCAAGCTCACTTCTTTAACAAGTGTACTGCTATAGGTAACCTTAAAAAAAATCTCTAGCACTGATCTTTAGGTTTTTTAATGAGTTATGGAAAATTCTCTTACCTTGATTGAAATATTAATACTCCTTAAATCCATTAACATAAAACAACTTTTTGTAGAACAAAGATAGCATGAAAGCATTTAGATTGATGTGTGCTTTGGAAAAGCTTAAATAGGTATAGTCACGTGCAACATCTATAGCTTCAAGTTACTTGGCAACTTTGAAACCACAGTTGCTAATGGAATGAAGACCTTTTAAAAAATTGCAAATTCACTTTTTTAGTGAATGGCCTAAAGTTTGTAATACTAACTGGTTTGCAGACCTTCTTTTATTAGTTGTTGAAAATGCCACATTTTTACTAATATAGACAAGATACTTTGTATTTTTCAAAATCTTTGTAGTTTTACTGAGACTACTTTCAGCTAGCAAAAGCATTACAGTTTTGTATATCAGTAACTTTATCTAAACTTTCAAGATTTTTGTTTTATAAACTCTTGTTGCTGTTTTCAAGGTAGAAGACCTCTGTCCAAAAGTCCACTCCAATGCTGCATTAACCAAGCCTCTAAAAGTAATCAAGCACACCTTTTGTAGGATGCATCTTTTTCTCCCATAATTGCTTATATGCTGTAGTACTCGGTCTGACCAAGTAACAATGTAGTGGAGAAACAAAAATTATGCTAGTTGGCTTTCTTTCTCCATGTCTCCTAGAGTGGTGTTATCAAAGGTCACATGAAGGAAGGAGGAATTCTGTACACATTCCAGACCAACAGAGACCCCTGTGTGGCTAATATACCACTCTATTTCTCCATGACATCTATTTGTCTTATTAATCTTGGTATCATTGGCTGTGCCTTTCTAAAATTTTACATTTATGAAAATCTAAATTATCTGACTAGCAGGAAATAGTAGTAGACTTGGTATAATTATTAATGCTATGTATACAAATAAATCTTTGTTGCTAGACTTCTATATTTCATGCTTTTAACATATTTAAAAGTGAATTTTAGAAGTGAATAGGTGTTGTACCAACCTGAGGAGAGAAGCAGTAAGGTTTTCATGCAGAGATACTCTTCATAAGATACCTGAAGCCTGTTTAACTCAGAGGAAACATACAGCATATGTTTACATTGGTCATACATGCAGGGTAGAGTCATTCTCTGCCTGTGAAAGACAAATGTCATTGTTTGAGTTAGAAAGAAATAGTGCTTGTTCTCAAACATGTATATTTTTCTGTTTTATTTTGCAAAACTATGAACTCATAAAGGAAAACCTAACTATTGCTATTAATAACTAATTCCCTATAGCTCAGAGTTTTGGAAAATTTTCCTTAAACTTGTTCCCGGGTCTGGAGCATCTAAAGACACTACTGAACAACCTCATTTTACATTGGAGAAATTATTTTTCTATCATGCGTGCCATATCTTGTTTTTCTTAAATGTTTAGAATTTATTCCTACAGAACTTATTACCAGTTGCTCATTTGAATATGGCTAATTAGACAACACTGTTTTAGATACTACCCATTTAAAAATCAAAAGGTATTTTTTTTAGAGCATTCCATCCTAAAGACAACTATGTGTGATACTGTTTATAGTTATGCAGAGTATCAGAACCAGAATGACTCTAGGCTTTCTGATACCCAGAGTGTGCCTCTGACAGACATTATGTGACTGAATATTTTTCTAACTAAAGGTACCAAATGAATTCTCAATTCAGATTCTCAACAGTCATTATCATATCTACAATTTTCAAATAGGTCTCTAAAGTTTCCTAGCTTTTTAAATGACACTAAGTGCCTGAAGCTGTGCCTAGTTCATGGTTTTTAAAGATCTGTGGTTTTTTTTTTTTTTTTTTTTAGTTTCTGACAGAAAATGATCTGGGACTTAGGGAAAAAAAGGTTATTTTTCTGTACTGAAGATGTAGTTTATTTCTTAAATGATAAATCAAACATGAATTGTATACTGTCTAAGGTGATGACAGAGGAGCTCACATGACTCTCCAAATTTAAAATCTGCTCTTACCAAAGAGGCACCTTCCCAATCCCCTAATAGGAAGTAAGCATTCCTTTTCTGGGAGAAAGTTTTTCTCCTTTAGTTTCTGTACATGGCAATTTTGACAGTTACAGTGTAGTAGAGTAAAAATTCATTCTAGTTGGTGGTATAAAAAAAAATTTTTTTTCACAACATTCTGACCTAAGGACAACTGTGAGAGACTGTTTTACAGCTACACAGATGGTCAGAACCTGAATGTATACTTCATGACACCCAAAATCTGCCTATCACAGACACCAGAGCTGTATGGAAACACAGTGGGCCAAGAGAAAAAAGGAGAAGGAGGCCTGCCTATTTCATACACAGCAGCATAAAGACACAAGAATGGGAAGTAAAAATGCCCTCTTCAAAACTATTGTTCCTATAAGCCATCCATTCTCCAGTAGAGCTGAACACTGAGTAAAAATAATCCTTTAAACAATCTTCAAAAAGCACTCTTCTGTATCCCATAATTAAAATGAAACTGATGTAAATTTGTTGATAAAAAATTTCTGTAATTCATGTAAGGAATGTTGTGGCATAATCAGGTTATGCTGTGACTGTTTAAATCTAAATTGGAGTGCCTCCAAAATAAAAACCCTGATTTAGATTAATTTTATAAAAGAAGGATAAATTAGTTTTTCATATAAATTCTCTGTTCACAGTTTTAATCCCAATTAAATGACTTGAAATTGCTTTTTAGAAAGTGACTGTGCTTTTTAGAAAGTGACTGTAAATAGTAAACAGTGCCAGCATGATGTTTTTAACTAAGCATGGTTGGATTCTGAAATGAGCAACAAGTACTTAGAGATTTTAAATGTCTCTGAGTTTGCATATAAGCTACATATATTTATCAGTTAATTTAAAATTTGATGAAGCAACTTAAATCTTGTTAAATTGTGATGCAGTGGTTTGAACAGTCCTCTTTTGGGCAACAGACAGTCAAGGTGACTTCTTTCTCTGACACAGATACCTAAGAGTGTGTGTGTGTGGAGATCTGGTCTGGCCAAGCACATGGCAGTGCCTGCTAGCTAAGGGCAGAGATATGGCCCCTTCTTGGAATACAAAGAGATTGATTACAGCATGTATATTTCACATGCCTCTTGTCATATTGCTTCTCACTATGAAGCCTGGTCCTTTTCCTTCAGGTCTTATTCAGCTCAAATGACATCTCCTCCAAGCAGCCATTAGCCACCCTATCTCAAATAGACCTCTCTCTAGTAAAAACTGTATCATAATCTGAAATTATTTTATTTATTTGGTGGTGATCTGTGTCTCCCAACTAGAATGTAAGCAATAAAGGTCAGGAACCTTGTTTGTCTTGTTCTCTGCTATAGTTCTGTTTTTTTTTTTTTTTTTTTTTTTTTAATAATTTTATTTATTTATTTTTTCCCCCAAAGCCCCAGTAGATAGTTGTATGTCATAGCTGCACATCCTTCTATTTGCTGTATGTGGGACACGGCCTCAGTATAGCCAGAGAAGCGGTGCGTCAGTGCGTGCCCGGGATCCGAACCCAGGCCGCCAGCAGCAGAGTGTGCGCGCTTAACTGCTAAGCCACGGGGCCGGCCCTATAGTTCTGTTCTAATACGTACCAGGCATATCAGGAGTGTGACGAGTATTTGTTGTTCCACTCTAATCCATTCTCTATCATGTTATCCTTTGTTTGAAACTCTCCACTGGCTTCTTCTTGCTTCTAGAATATGTCCTACAAGATTCTGCTTGACTTGGTCCCTGCCCACTTTTCTAAACTCATACAATATCCTCAGTGGCCTTCTCTCAATTCCTCACACATGCCAAGGTTGTTTCCGGCCTCTGCACTCATTTCCTCTGCCTGGAATGCCCTACCTTTCACACAGCTTGTTCTTTTGTACTATTTAGTGCTCAGCTATTTAGAGAGGTCTTTTATGGTCTCAAAATCTAAAATAGAGTAGCACATACCCCTCTCTCCTCCCCTCCCTCAGTCACACTATTATATCATGGCTTTCTGAAATAATTTTGGTCATTTATTCGATTTTCCCTATTAGAATGCTAGGGGCCTCATCTGGTGTGTTCACTATTATAGCTCAAGCTCCTAAAATAGTGTCTGGCATTTGGTAAGTACTCAAATATCATTGAATGAATACTGTGCTGGAAAATAAGTATCATCAACACAGAAACAACACTAAGTTTAACTCAATATTTCAGTCTGGATTTCTAGACTAGTTTTTTATGCAGCTAGCCTAACAGAGAGAAAACCTGCAATCTCTGCTTTAGGTAGTTCCCATTTATCTTGCCAAATATGTAGCCTTGGAATTACCTAGTAATAGTAAAAAGAAGATGTGCCCTGGATCTAGAATTATCCCACTACTTGTGGTTTCTTGCACAATGCCTAAGAATTTCTTTTAAAATATCTGGAGCTAGTATCATCCAATCTCTACTAAAACACTTAAAATACTTTACTACACCATAAAGCAGGCCTTTCCATTTAACGCTCAGCTCAAATAGATGCTTTCGTATAACTTATACCCATTATTTTTGTGCCTGGCACACCGAACAGATAAAACAATGTTTGCTTTATCTTCATTAGAATATCTCTTCAGGCTGTCCTCATCAGTCCTAAGTTTCCTTTTCTCTCTCCTCCAAACATCCCCTGTTCATCAACTGATGTTCATTTCCAAACTCCTTGCCACTCTGGACATAAAGTTGCCACTGTTACTTTTAATATGGCATTCAGTTTTAATATGGCATTCAGTTCTGAACACAAACTACTAATGGTGGATTGACTCACACTCTATTTTAATAATGTGGTTTTAAGATTTTATTAAAAATTTTTGGAACCCTTGTCAGCAGCATCCAGAGCTCACAATTAAAGAAATCTCCATCTTTTTCCACACAAACACAACTCCCCTTCATTTTTTGCTCTGCTCAGGCCATGGGTATGTGTGTGTGAACTCCCTGTTTGCATTCTAATGAAGGAGAGAAGCTATGGGCATGAAAAGTAGTAATACAAGGTAGAAAGTGATAAGAGCTAGGGATATACAGTGGAGAGGTCTCATATGGTGAAATGAACATTATGAGCTGAGGGTATGTTTGAAGAATGGGTTATCTGAGTGGGAACGATGAGTATGTGAAGGGGAACAACGAGACAGAAAGTGAGGCCAGGGTCTGAAAAGCCAGAAACCATGCTGAGTACGCACTGGGTGGTCAGTGAGGAGACACTGAAGACATCTGTGTTGGGGAGATATGTGATGTGATCAAACTGTGCTTTAGGAAGACAAAAATAGTCAACATGATGGAGGAGACAGGAAACAACTGCAATGAGGTAAGGGGAATGGATACCTGAAATATTTCACAGATAGAGGAATAGGCCTAGAGGACAACAGAATAGCCGATTTATAAAATCTTAAAGCTTGGTTGGTTCTCTGTCAATTGAAAAAAAACCTCTTGTTCTCATGTTCTTTGCAAGTCATAAACATTGAGTGAACCCTGCCATGCAAAGAGATACCTCTTATCTCTGGGTCCATACCTCCCTCCCCTCAGCCTAGATGTCCTCATCTGTAATTGTCCCTACTGAAAGTGAAATCAACATGAATTGTATCATGCTCCTTTTCCTTTCTGGAATAGGGTTATGTTATTAAAACAATGTCATACTAAGATTCCTTTTTACTTGCTGTAGACTTTACTGACCCTAGAGATGCTCACTGTTTAAAAAAATCCTTAAATATGTCCTGGGACAATATTGCCACATGTACATTTGCTCTACATTACACCTGGCCTGCCTTAAACATTGATAAACAAGTGTATTTCCAGTTTGTCCAGTTCCAAGATACCTAGTATGATTGATTCATTCCTGAATGATCACAATACCAGTCTATCAGGGAAACATCAGCTGGTTAAAAATACCCCTATGAATACAGGGAAAATGACTCACAAATGACTTACTCATTAATAATCAGATCAGGAGCAAAACACAGCATGCTTCCATTTGATTGTCTATATGATCTCCACCCCAGGGCAAATGCCATGAGGAACATCCATGAATATTGCAGTAGGGTCATTTGGTCATCCAGGTGTAAGTTCCTGAATCCTGAATTAGGAGAAACAAAGATATGAGGAAACCTTCTCATTACCCAAGAGAAGATCATCTCTCTGGAAACTGCCAAAGACCAGATATCAATTAACCTTGTTTTGGGGGACCTCTAAGAGATAGAGGAAATGAAGCACCAAGCGGGCACAGTTTTCCTTTGTCATCTGACATGTTAAAATCGAAGCCCTCAGTGCTTTTTAATAGTATTCAGTGTAAGAAAACTTAAAAGCGTAGCCAGTTTTTGTCACATTTTGCCTATTTAAGTACATATGAACTAAATAGTGTAATAGAAAGCCATGAGTCCTGGCTTGGGACGTTACTCATTCAATGAATTTAAATTAAAAAATTTCTCTTGATATTTTATACCTCTTTCCCCCTTGATAAAGTAGGGATGCCAGGAGGTCAGGTTACTTCATTCTTGTTCTGTCTCTATTCCTCTCTAACTACAAAGTCAGGGTTGACATTAACATTGACCTCTACTGTTTCATATCATCTTAAAAATTAGATTAACTAAAATTTACATTCAACGTGAATTTCATTTAGTGAAGAGTTAAAATCATTCTACTTGAGTACCTTTTGACAAAATGTCACTACGCCTGATTTTTACCAATTTTACAAATAACCTAATTTTTAAAAGTGATACATTGAAGGAAAACAAACTGAATTCTTAGAAATATTATACATTTTCTTCCCCTAGACTTAGTATAAAAGAAATTTTGAGTAAATCCTGTAACTTAGTTCTGATCTACATTGTCCTGTCTGAAATTACCAAACTCTGAGTAATAATCTGAAAAGCAGGGAGCAGTGTAAACGTTTTATTATAGACTCTCAACTCTCTCATATTTAAGTGACTCTCCTCTTGTTAGTCCCCAGAACTAAGAGAAACAAGACACACCATGGGACCAGGATGATAAAGAGCTAGAATGTGTTTGTTTAAGAAAATACAAGAGTTTATACCTTACTGTGTCATCTTTTGCATCTTACCTGGTATCGCCTTTGCCCATTTCACTGCTGCAATCACTTGCCGCCCACCTAACATGTTGAGTGCGGTCATGATCCGCCAAGTGGTATCTGGAACAGAGCTATCGTATCCTGCATATAACACTTCAGGTTCAATGACCTCCAACAGTGACACCAGAGTAGGGGTAAGTTGTGGTAATGTTGCAGGAACTATTGTTTTGTTAGCAGGATTTTCAGAAGTTTCTTGTGAGGCTCCTGTAGTGGCCTGAATTCCTTTTATCTTTTTCTTTGTTTTTCGAGCTGTGGGTATTAAAAAAAAATATACAGAATGAGTTGTAATGGGAAGTTCTGGGTGGCACAGTTTATTCATGAGGTATTTTAATTTCTGAAACTATTTAGATTGAAAGAGGACAGATGTTTTATTTAGCTATTATTATAAAGTGACATGGAAGAAAAGAAAAAAACATTTTTTTCTGAAAGCAAAGGATCAAGAGGAACCCATTTATTAATTTCTGCTCCAAATAAGCCAGTTACTTCTTTGCTACAGTTTATATGAAATTAAGTGTCTTACAACACTATGTTAAAACAATCTAAACTTCTATAGCTTCTTCCAGAAGTCACTTCTATAGATTCTTCCATAAATTAATTAGTCTCACTTTCACTCCAAAGTTGAAATTTTTATTAGTTATATAAGACAAATTACTTTTACTATCAACTGAAAGAAAGAACCTAAGCTTGTAATACCAGACTAGAAACTGTGGCTTCGGGTTAATCTAAATTATGGTAACATATATAATGAAGAGAGCTATATTATTTACACCCTTGCACAAAGTCTCCTTCTTATCAAGATAGTAAGATGACATAGCAGGTCACATGCTAAAAACAGTATTAGTTCTAACAACAGAAAAATTGACTTTTTACCTTTATATGATGGATACTACTTGGTACTAGAAACATTTGGGGAGATGAAAAGAAAAACTTTACATTTCTTCACATAAATTATCAGTGGGTAATTGCCCTGTTATAAGAGATTTATATTGATGACTCTATAAACGTAAAGCACCCATTCTCATATTACATATAAAGTAACTAAAGCTATCTTTTTTCTTTGACTTAGTCGGGAACAGTGTAATCAAATTACAACTTGGATTCTGTAGATTTTTTTTAAATAAACATATTCATACTCTTGAAGTTACTTGTTGTAGTGACTAATAAGAATTATATTGTTCTTTTTTAGTATATGTGCTGCCAAAGCAAGTGCAGAATTATAGTATTCTTAAAGAGAAAGTACTCAGAGCTCCAAGGAAGGGCAAGAAATGTAATTTATGTGAAAGAAGAAATGCACCTGCCTTAGTTATCAGGGATGCAAATATTTTGCTAAGGGAAAAGTAAATGCTAATTATATTTTAAAATAATTATCAGATCCTCTGTCCCTAAAAAGACAAAATATATAGTTTGTGGAGGATAGATATGGTGGCAGGAACTATATCTCAAAAAAGCCTGTCCTTTACATTGAACAGAATGGTCCCATTTCTTATTGTGCTCTGTGCTGAATGTGGTACTGAGAAATTTAAGAATTTTTAATTAACATTTCAAAATAGAGAAACAGGATCATGACAGATCTATTCTCATTTATTTTACCATGCTCTGTTGAAGACACAGTATGGTGTAGTAGTAAAGAGCATATATATCTGAATTTAAATCCTGGCTCTGCCATTTTAGTAGTTGGGTATCTGTGCAAGTTATTCCCTGGGCCTTAGTTTCCTCTTCTGTAAAAATGAGGATAATAATAGTACCTACCTCATAGGATGACTGAGAATTAAATCAGTTAAAATATGTAAAATGCTTAGAATAGTTCCTGGCACACAGTAAGTGCTATATAAGAAGTATTATTACCTCAACTGGTAGAAGAATACAGTTTTAGAATATTTTGAATTCAGATAGTACAAGTCTATAGAGGAGTAATCAAGTTTAAAAAAGGAAGAGCTCCTGTACATAAGGAAACCCTTTAAACAACTAAAGGTATCTCACTGAAACCCAGATCTCTAATTCATGGAATGTATTTTGATGACAAAGTAAAAGAAAACATGCATGTCCCAAATCAGTACACTGAAATGAAAATGTAAAAACCTCAATTAACCATAACTTAAATTGTCTAGAATATGTGTTCCTACACTCCTCCTTTCCACAAGGAGGAAAGGATAAGGACAAGCTGGAGGATTTAAAAAAAATCTTCTTCTGTGACTCAGTATATAATTAATTTCTTACTATTTATCTAGTCTTACATGAGAAAACTGATGCTTTTGAATAAAGGTGAAAAAGTGCTAGTGAGCCCAATTGTGTTGTACTGACTTGAGCAAGCAAGTATACTGAAGTTTTCATATAACTTTAGTAAGGAGTTATTTGAATTAGTTAAGGAATCACTATTTTTAAGCAATTTAGTTAATAAGATTTTTACTCTATATAAAGTTCCTGACCTCTTGGAGCACATAGTAGATTAGCAGTCAATACATGGATCTCTATAGAAGTGTTCATGAGTCTGTGATAGCTTCTCTTTCTTAATAAAAGTAATCTTATTTAGTTTAAAATTAAACTTAAAAATATTAGGTATGAAATCTGATAATGTCATCAGTCACCTTGCCTGTAAAGGTCCATTTGACTCTGTACCAAAAATAAAGCTATAATTTGGAGTGATGGCAATACACTTTAAAATGAGATAAGTATAAAACATTTAGGATCACCATTAAAAAACTCATCTGTACTTAAATGCCAGGCACTTTAAGCAGTGAAGAAGGCTGCCTTAAAATAAATCTTGAGAATTCCTTGGTACGGGGCAACAGTATCAAAATACACCACTTGCAGTACTAAGTTACATTTATAGAGAATTGGGCTCTGAGAGAGCTGACTGCTTCTGCAAAGTTACTCTGGGCTATCATGAAACTGCTTGGCTTAGGGGAAGCACTCTGATGAATAAGAATGTTTCTAAAGATTGTAAAAAAATAAAAAATAAGCATGAAACACATGGCTCACCTACAATGTTCTTAAGTATTATGGTCTGCCAAACATTTCTGGCACACACACATACCTACTCCAAATAAAGATTTTATATATACTGAAATAATTAAAAACAAAAATGAGGCTTTCACACTAAAACTGCACATACACAAAAAACCCTATGAACTTGGAATTTTTAAAGCCTTTCTTTCAATTTTTCTACAAGAATTACATTTCTACAGAATTACATTATCAACAGCATATGTGCTACCTAATATCTAGTATATTAAATGACAAACTAGAGCTTTGTAAAAGTGGACAGAATATTAATCTTGGCCCACTCTAAGGTGTTTTTAATAATATGAAAGTCCAAAATAACCTCTTTGAGTAGAAGAATGTATATCAAACACCAGCATGTAGTAGCTCTTGACAAATGCAAGTTTCTCCACTATTCTGATTATCTTATATTGACAACTTATCAAAAGCATACAGTATGGTTGTTTTTTAATACAGTGTTTTGAGAAATTGCAGCTCATTTTACATTGTGTGCTTAAATTTTATTCATTCAAAAAAATTCTGACTTTCAACAAAAGATCTGATTAGAAATGGCAGTGATGGTATATTTGATAATAGAAAGAAAATTAGATGTCACTTGCTGCCTTGGTCTTCCTTCTAGTGAGGTAAAGGCAAAGGGCACTGCAATCGTTACTAAATTTGTAAGAGGGAGGAGAAATGGGACAGACTTTATAGTTGATATATCTTATTTCTTTTGAATAAAAAATTCTGTTACACTTTGGATAGGGAAAGAATTGTCCAGAAGAGCATTATATTACATCTCCAAACATCTAAACTAAGCTTGATGTGTATTCAGGAAAAATGTTACTCGGTAAGCAACCATATTATATTAGTGATATGACAGAATTTTATTTGGGTTTGTCCTTTGAGTAAACTTATTTCTAAATATAAAACAGCTGAGATGAAAACATGGGGATTAAAGGAAAGTAGTAAAATTGGGGCTAGAGAAAAGAAACCAATCACTAAAAACTGACATGTCTTAAAAGAGAGCAGCAAAATGAAACTTGGTAAAATATGGGCAGAGATCTGGAATGTAAGAAAGTGAGGAATAACTATCTTGTTTTTATAACAAAAAGAAATTATCCTTGTGGCACTGAAAATGAACTTATACATGAATTTGTAATTAATCTTTGTAGCTTTTTTAACACCTACAAGAAGATGGGCAGCTGTCACTTTCTTTAAGTCAATGCTTAACATGTTGGCACTCGGCAGTAAAGTTTAAGCAACCTAGTCGTACTTAGAAAAAATTTGGTTAAGTGATTGGTGTGACACGCTTGTCTGTAAATATGGTGAAGAGACTAATTTCATGTCTTTTTTGCTGCTGAAGTAATAAGAAGTGAGAAGATAATGTTGTGTATGTGGTTTGAGGAATTAGACTGTTTACAGTCACACCCATAAATCTACTTTATATTTAAAAACACACACACAGTATGTGCTAGATAGCACCAATAGTTAGTCTCTCTTATATCAAAAGAACCACATGGTTTCCATTCTCCCTCTAACATCACCATGTCTTATCTGGATTGCTTCTATAGATATCATTTAATTGGTCTCTCTACAGAAGATTAGTCTTTTCAAAATACAAATCTGATCATGTCTCTACCCTTATTTTTCACCTAATTCCTACTCAGCTTTTCTAGATTTGAAAATCAGTGTTGCTTCTTGCAGGAAGCTTTCCCTTTTAGGACAGAATTAGATGACCCTCCTCTTGCTCCTGTGGCTCTGTTCCTTTTGTAGTGTGCCATACTATTTTGTGACTGACTCTGCAACCTAACTAGACAGTAAATTCCTTGAATACAGGCACTCTTTTATTCCTTTTATGTCTAGTGCCTGCCTTGTTGGTGAGTACTTGTTGAATGAAAGTGCTATGACAACAAATAATATGCACGTGGTTTATTAGATCACCACCACTACCTTCATGGAACTTGCAATTTCAACTAAAGCAGAATTCCAAATATTTTCCAGAGGAAAGTTTTAAAATGATGAGATCCATGTTAATTATACAACTTGTTTCATAAACGGATATGCAACTCGAACTTATAACTAGTTTCAGGTTTCTTCTTTACTTGAAAAACAAAACAAACAAAACCTATTCAATGCCTCCTTGAGGAGTTTTTTTTCCTCCTGCAGATCTAATAAAACATACATACATATATAGCACCAGGTAAATGACAGAAAAATGGACATATAATGACAGAAAGGTGACAGGTAAGTGGACAGAAAAATGTAAATATATCTGATACAGAAACATTTCCAACCCTAGGTAATAGTTTTGAGGCTGAAAAAAGGAATAAGATAAAAGGAACGTTGCTTCAAGTTTTGTAAGTTTCATTATTACCTAATTTCCTTTCTTAGTATATAGTCTGGCTATAACTGAATTCAGTGTGTGCAATAAGAGCTGTGAATACATTTAAGCAGAATATGAAATATTCATTAAAAAATTCCTACTTTTACTGAGCAGTAATATAAAATTATGCTAGTCAAGCACATATTTACTGCAATGACCAAATTAATACATCTTCTTGCTTACATTTTTAAAAGTTAAATGATAAATTTTTATATGATGCAGAGAAAATTCCTTTCAGGTATTTACATTACCTTCCAGGTTCATTCCAGCTTGAAGACATTTTCGATAGCGGCATGCTGGGCAGTTTTTTCTTCGAATTTTATCAATGATACAATCATTTCTTCCAGCACAAAGATAATTGTGCTGTCCTATATGGAAAATAAAGGCACTGTTAAAATTTCACAGGTCTTAAAGGCTATTTTTATGGAGAGACTGTTTTTGTTTTGAGTGGAACATAGCCAAGGACCAAAGGCATCGATTAAGGAAGGTACACTGTACTTGCTTACATTGCCATTACAAAGTTAAGAGGTCAACTTAAAAAAAAGAAGTCTCTTCCTTATTCTGTTCAACAAAGTAAACAATAGTTCATTAAAAAAATCTTTACAGTACTATACATATGGAAAAGTGCACAAATCATAATAGCACCTAATAAATTTTCATAAACTGAACACCTCTCCATGTGTTCAGCTCTCAGATCAAGAAGAAGAGTACCCCATAAACCCTCTTCTTGCCCTTTTCCAGTCACTACCCACCAAAGGTAACCTCTTTCTTGATAAATCGTGCTTTCAACAGTTACAGAAGATGTCTCTAATCACTATTTTATTATGACTTCTGACCTAATGCTAAGGAGGACTAAAGAAAGAGGAAACTGGTTAAAAAAATACCAAGACAGTCCCAAAGGGAAAATGACTTTCATTCAACATTACACTACCATATGTAAATAAAACGTGCTCCCCCTCCCAATTTTAAATGAAGTGATAGATAAACACTTAATCGTAAACGTTAAGGTTGCCAGCAAGTAGTTAGGTGAAGCACAGACTTGGCAAACTAAACTACTGTATATAGATCTTACAGAGATCTGTTCATTATTTCACATGCTTTTAGAATATAAGAATATTTGAATTCACCATTGACCCCAAATATTAATTTAAAGACTGTTATTGTCTAAAATCTTCTGGCACCCAGTATTAAAGAGGTAAAAGGTCAGTTTTCACCTGGCAAACATTTTAAAGGAAAATTTAAAAGGAAAAGACTAAAAGCCTCCCTACCCTCCACTAAATGCACATTCTTGTAGTTTTCTTTTAATCTGGTTATCAAATGTTGAAGAAAACTATCTGAGAATCTGCTGGCCTGGCAAAAACTGAAAGGATCCTCCTACACAAGACCAGCATATCTAAATAGCTACACTAGATAATTAAGAGTCTATGTACCTTACACTAGAGGGGATGGTCTTCACAAGACTGCAGGACATTTCTCTTCTCAAAAATAAATCATATTCAAAGGAAAGAGAAAAATCACAATTATCCATTCACTAGGTTGGATATACCCAGTTCTGATTTCTGGGAAAAGGTCCTTTATGCATAAAACAACCTAAGGCTTGACTTGGACGAAAACAAACTATATTCACTTCTTCCTAATATGATAAATCACAATGCTCTTTAAGCATTAGTTTTGGGTAGATGGTTAACTGTATCAGTTTCCATTCTTTGTGAGGAATAGGCCACAGAGTTGACTAATGGCCTGTAATTCAGCTTTGTTCCAGAGCTGCTCTCCAATGCCCAATGTCCGTACCAGCTGTTTCAGTTCCTTTCTGTATTGTGTAAGTTTCCTAGCTGCTTTACTTGGACATGAAATGGAAGCACTAACTCAATAATTTTATCCTCTATAGAGGAAAAGTAGGAACAACAGATGCATCCATAGTTGAAGCAGTTATAATATAAAGAAGTTCTACACCATAAGAATATCCCCAAATCATTGTCCTGCAGTTACTGGAAGAGACAAGTGAAAAAATTACTAATTGCTTAAAACAGAAAAAAACTTCAATACTTTATTTATATCTGGCCAAAATATCAAAATGTGCCCATTATGCTAATAATGATTTCTTTATCCCAGGTATGCCTTGAGCACAACTAAGAATCTGAGCTACAGGATCAGGGCCATTGTACCTTCATAAGTTAAAATTAGTCCTATCTGGTTATTAATATGAAATTGGGCAACTCTGTGTCTTATCTATAAAACGAGGAGTTTCAACCAGTGGTCACTATTTTACAAGGCATGGACATGTACCACTAATAGTCACTCCCTGTCAATCCTTTTGATAAGATAACGAGACATCTTAGTTTGGAGTTCCTATGTTTTCTACCACTTGGTAAATTCTCTAACTAATACAGAGTAAATTTCAGGAGAAGAGACTTCAGGTGGGCTGGAATTTTTTAACATTGTTTTGTTTGCATTGTATTTATTTTTATGGTTAAAATCTATTTTTGGCAAGTGATTTATAGTGGGTGTGGTAGCCAGCCCCCAAGATGAACCCCAATGGTCTCTGTCTGTTGGTATTCACATTCTTGTGTAGTCCCTTCCCATACTGTTGGTCTGTGTGACCAATAAAATATGGCAGAAGTAACAGTACATCACATCTGAGATTAATTATAAAGACATTATGTTTCCATATTGGTTACACTCTCTCTTGTGGACCATTTGTTCTGGGGGATGCCAGCTGCTATGTTGAGAACTGCCCTAGAGGCAGTCCACATAGTGAGGAACCGAAGTTTCCTGCCAAAAGCAATGTTAGTGGGCTTGGAGGTGGATCCTCCAGCCCCAATCAAGCCTTCAGGTGACTGTAGCCGCCACCAATAGGCTGAATGTAACCTCATGCGAGTTCTAGGACTACTCAGCTAATAAGCTCCTCCCAAATTCCTGACTCTCAGAAACTGCATGATATAATAAATGTCTGTTGTTTTAAGCCACTAATTTTGGGGGTAATTTGTTAACACAGCAATAGATAACTAATACAGGAGGGATAGTAAAGTTTTTTTTTTTTTTTCCTAAATTAAGTTTTAAAAAAGAATAAATCAAGAAAAATATTAAATAATAAATAGAACAGTGATGCATGGACATGATTAACATGAAAGTGGTACAGGAAATGGGCAACACAGCAAGGGCATGTTCTAGGGTTTTCTGCAGTTTGTATACCCTATTTGAAGTATCCAAGTTTTAAATATGAACTGTGACTGTCAGCTTGAGCTTCTTGCTTTACCTGCTGTCAAAAACAGTGTGGTATAATAGAAAGTGCATCGGCAAGGTGCCAGGAAGCCCTTGATCTGAATTGCAGCTCTATTTCCTAGATATGTGATCTCAGTAAAGTTTATTAACTTTTCTGAGCCTCTGTTTCCCCATCTGTAAAGTTGCAAAGTTAGCACCTACGTTTCTGGGCTTCTGCAAAGGTTAAAGGAAATAGTGTAGAAGGTGCTTACAGTAGTGCCTAGCACATTGTAAGCACTCAATAAATGCTAGCTGTTAATTCCCTTGTGATTACTTTCATCTCAGTATCTAACTAGATTGTAAACTGCCAGGACAAGACTTTTATCACATACCTGTCAGGGAGTCAGTGAGCATTGAGGTTAAGAGCCTGTTTGGAGACAGCTGTGTTTGAATCATAGCTCTGCCACTTAAAATCCTCCGAGCCTCAGTTTTCTAGTCTACCAAATATGGATCATAATAGCATCTAAGAGTTCACAGAGCCGTTAATTAAATGGTATTAAGTCAAACATAGTAATTGGTACATGGTATATTAAGGGTAGCTGATGCCTATCTCCATTATGACCCACCAACAAAAATTACATGCACTTTTGTGTGAAGGCAACATAAGAAAAAGAGACTCAAGGGGAAAAAAAACAACACTACTAAACTGGTATACATCAAAAGAAATGAAGCTACCCAAAGTTCTTTTCTGTATGCAGAAAAGCGACTCCCAGAATATTGAATAAAAAAATTCAAATGTCTATCCTTGATCTGGGTTGTATGGACAATAAATACGTAAAACTGCTGTAAATTTCCTAAAAATAGTTAAATTTTTGGGTATTTTTTATACTATGCCAATTTTGGGGATAAGCTATAATTTCTAACAGGTGTTAAAAATGGAGTACAAATCATACAAGCAGCATCTTGGTAAATGTTTAAGAAAGTGCTCCAAAATATGTCTTTGGGCTTTAAAACATATATCCAGCATGTCTAGATAGGAAAAGTAGAAGAACTGCTATGAGTTAGGTTATCAAAGGATTAGAGAATTTTAGAGCTGGAAGGGACCTTGGAGAACATTAAAATCTAAATGAAGGATTTACTTAGTCCACATTTAAACCTTTTCTTACTCATCATGTAATCTAGCCATCATACTTAACTGAAATACTTAAATGATAAACATTTTGAAATAGTATAGCTAATATCCAATGAAATTTTACCTAAAAACAAGTGTAAGAGGGGCCAGCCTGGTGGCATAGCAGTTAAGCGTGCGTGCTCTGCTTTGGCAGTGCAGGGTTCACAGGTTCGGATCCCGGGCGTGCCCTGACGCACTGCTCGTCAAGCCATGCTGTGGCAGTGTCCCATATAAAGTAGAGGAAGATGGGCATGAATGTTAGCCCAGGGCCAATCTTCCTCAGCAAAAAAGAAGAGGATTGGCATTGGATGTTAGCTCCGGGCTGGTCTTCCCCACATACACATAGAAAAACAAGTATAAGAATTTAATTCTAAAGCAGGGATTAAGCCCAGAGGGCATATGGCCTACAGTGGTGTTTTATTTGGGAGGTATGTTTAGCTTTTCTTTCTTTCCAAATTGCATTTGGATGCTTTTAGGTAGGGCATGCTTGCACTCTCTAATATCAGTGCCTGTCCTCTTTCCCCTAGTTGTGTTATATTTGGCCAGATTGACATATACTTGGTCCCTATAGGCATCTGAATTTGAAGCCCTGGTTTTAAAGAATAATTTTAGTTAAAATGGAAGAGAATGAAAAATACTTTTAAAATACCCATATTTCTTTTAAGGCTCCTTTGTCTCATTCTGAATTTCACATTCAGAAACCAATTTGTCAATATTATTTATTATATACAGCAATAATGTATTACTGTTATCACTGCATTATATCATGGAAATAACTAATCGGTTAAAATGCTGAATAAAGTAAAGTAAGGACAAAAAGAGGCTTCCTCCTCTTGGGTCTGTGGTAAGTAACATCTGCTTTGTTAGAGGCATTGCAGTAAGCAGGGGTTGGCTTTAGTTATGACTCTACTCAATAGTTGAGAGCTTGTAAACTGGTCAAAGCCTCCATTCCTGTGCGCTATGTGGGGTAAGATGAGTTATTTTATAGTTTGCTAAAGTGTGCAAAAGAAAATGACTCATCTAACTCTTAAGGATATGCAAACACAACTCTAGCCAAATAATAATAATCCTTCTCATACTGTGAATGAATAATTACATTTCTTTCAAAATTAATATAATCAGAGCTTTAGGTAATCCATTCAGGACCCACTGCCTTCAAACTGCTTTACAACCAAATTTTATAACAGTTTTTTCCAAGAGGATTCACTGGTGATATTAGGAAATTTTAGAGTGACTTCCAAAAATAATTTGCTATAGAATGAATTTCTCTTTCTTTAAGGAGTTGATGCTATTGCCCTTGTCAGCAGGCTGAATCCATAAGAAGAGTCAAGTTTATGTTAACGTAATATTCATATAGTGAAATCACCTTCTCTAAAATACCATCTTTCCTGACCTCCTCAGGCAGTTTATCACTTGCTCCTCTGTATTATAATCTCTATACCTTGTAATTGTTAACTCATCTTTCACTTCAATTAGACTGTGACCTCCTATAGGGCAGGGGTCAGGTCTTACATTGTCTTTATACCACTTAGCACAGTGCCCTGGCTCAACAGAAAAATATAAACCAAAATACTTCCACCTTGCACCCCCAGTTCTTGTCACTCATTTTTGCTGGGTGGGAATTGTTGGTGACTTTAAAACCAACTAGCTTATGGGACTTAAAGCCTGTGACTCTAATACAATGAGCATTAGGTTACTGTCCAAACCTAACACCATCATTTCACATGATAGCACTTTCTTAGCTACCTTCTGTTCTCTGACCAGACTCCCTCCCTTCAAATTATACTTTTCTGTTTTATTCTAGTTCTGCTTGTGTTGCTTTTTAAAATATCTCTTTCCCACTGGAGGACCTACGACCCACTCGCCTCTCCCTGCTTTACTAACTTCTAGCCTTAATGGGCTTCGCATATAATAGAAATTTCAAAATCCACTCTGAGAAATAGGAACCAAATAGAGGAAAAATAAAACTCTTCAAAACACACACTACCTTCCACTGCTCTTTTGAAGAATACTTTACAGCTTCCACAAGTCAAGACCCCATAATGACATCCCGAAGCTTCATCAGAGCACACAAGGCAGAGTTTGGGAGGTGGTCCCGTTGCTGCTGAGGAGCTGGATGGAGGAGAGCTTACATCTGGTCTCATTCCAGGGCTAAAGAAGAAAGCAGTGTTATGATTTAACTGTCATGACTGTCAAAGGGAATATCGAAATAACAGTTCTCACTCTACAGTGAGCATGTTCACACTGAACTCTGGCTTCAAGTACTAGCAAATCTTAAAATATACTATCTAAATACATTCAAAAGTTGTATTTTTCTTTTATACAAAATTAAGAGTGAGGTCATTTCTTTTTAAGTATCCTCTAAAAAGAACAGTAAAATTGTGCTTTACTTAGAAATTCCAATTTTTAGTTGCTTAGGATTTATAATCACCTTTATTTAGGTATCATTTACATACAATAACATTCACCATTTATAAGCGTACAATTGATGAGTTTCATTAAGCAGATAGTTGTGTAATACCACCACAATCAAGAGATAGTATATATCCATCACCCCAAAAAGATGCCCTCTCCTACTCCTTTTATTGCTGAGGACATCAACTTTTTTTTTTTTTTTAATTTTAAGATCTTGTACAGGCATCTTTCTAAATTCAATCAAGTCTCATTACAATTCTGCCCATGTCCTCTACTGGAGTAAAAACTTTTTACAGTATTAGAGTTTGGTCCTACATCTCTCATTCCCAATGTAATCCTAGCTGAAACCATAGTTTCTTATGACTTAGAAAAGACTGATGCAGAAACATTACTTTCTATAACCTTCTTGTCTGGCTGGCACTAAGACTGGAAAAAGCACTAGGCTTTCAACAGTAAGGACCATCCTGCCCTCCCCACTCAATGAAGATATGCCCTGGAGAAAAAGTTGGAAAATGGGAATCTGTTTCTACTATAAGGTCTTGTTTTTCATTTTGCAGACTTTTCACCACAAGGAGTGCAGGTCTAGTGTTTACTAGTGTTTCAAGATAAATATTCTTTTCCTAATTTGTTGTTTTGAAAACTTTCAAACTCTCAGAAATGTTGAAGGAACTGTACCATGGATATATACCCTTTACCTATACTCACCAGTTCTTAACATTTTGCCACATTTGCTTATGCAGATGTATTTTTATAAACCAACGAAACAGTGATCCTTTTAATACTGGAGGAAAAATTAACTATAAAGCACTTCATAATAGATGATATAATGGTTCCCAATGTTGTAACTTCCTAAGGAATTTTCATCTTACATGCTAACTTCAGAACTAAAACTGTATTGTGTAACTAAAAGTTTCTAACCTTCTAACCTTGTGTAACTGTAAAAAGAGTCTCTACAAAGAGCTTCTAGAGGCTGCCCATTTCTTCTCTGGTTATGTGTTCTTCAAAAATATGGATGGTAGCAATCTGTTGATTTTGAAACTCTACAAATTAAAGTATGTTATTTTTCACCTATATGAGAAAGCTCATAAACATACCATTAACTTTCTCTGAAATTTTCTTAACTTGCCTGTTCTCTAAAAGAGATGGCATTTAGGAATAAACTTAGATTGGGTGTTAGTTGTCTCTTTGTCATTCTTTATTCCTGCAGCCAGTTACAATACTAAATCTCAATTACAAATATGCTTGAACTAATTCACAGAGCAAATTAACTTAAATTGTTTTGGTTATATTTATTAAGTAATATCTTTTTTGTTGTTATGTTTTAGGAATAAAAGTTGAAAGGTAATTACAGAATGACAATTTGTTTTATAAATGTCACTCTAAGTAATAGGCCAATAAACCCAAATAAGGTCCCCCTAAATTCTGTCCTCAAATGAAGCTTACTGCACCTTGCCAACCCTCTGTCTGTCTAAGAGGCTTAGTCAACAGGACAGCGTTCCCACCACCCCAATTCTGGGAATAGGCCCCAATGTTTCACACTGTTCTCAGAACACGGTCAAGAAGAATTTCTGGGTGTTTCCGTATCACAAGGCACCGATTCCCTGCTAGATTTAGGAGAGTGGACTCAGTACATATTGAAAGGCTGCAATGGAAGAGAATAACCTGAAATGACTCTGCTGTAGGTCTGGCACGAGCCACCCTTGATTAAGGGAAACTTGTGACTAATGTAGAGGAGCTGCTGTGGGCCAGAGTTTTATAGAGAAGTAGGAAGGTCTTGGAATGAGTGAACAGAGCAATGTGTTAGGGAAGCAAAAACTTCCTTGGCTTCTGTTCTGAAGATGCTCCTATTCCCGCTCAGCCAACTCTGTCATCTGACATCTATTTTTAGGGACCAACCAGTTGTTTTTATATTTAGCTTATGGAAAATGAGTGCAGTATTTAAATATTTGGAAGGTTAATTCTGTAATGTTTTCTCCAATTATATATATATTTTTATATGTATTATATATATTTATATACATACACACATACATATATGTATGTATTTAAAATAGTTCTTTGTAGTACTCTATAGTTTTAAAACACTTTCATGAATAGACTGTCATCTGTTCTCTCAACAAACCTGTGTAAAGGATATCATCACCTCTAGATGAGGTCATGCAGTAATAGGTGGTTGATCAGGGAGCCTATTTGTGGTTAAACTGACTTGTTTCAGATCCTAGCTCTACCACTTAAAAGCTTGTGTGACCTTGGGTTGGTGGATAGGTATCTACTACTTTGAGCCTCAGTTTCCTCATGTGTAAACTGGGAAGGACATCATCTGTGTGTGTGTTGTAAAAACAAGAGAACACACACAAAGTACAGCACATAGTTCTGCATCTAGAAGGCACTCGATAAATGTTCATTCTTTTCTCTTTCATGAAGACTGGAGATTTTATGAAAAAGCATTATAAGTATTGTGTAAGTAGAAAGTAGTATTATTAAGTCTAAAACTAAAACCTAGGACAGTATTCCCAAATTCTCACTTATAAATTAGAGCTATGCAAAACATGTTCAGGCCACTCAACTGTGAGCTACAGATGACTAAAGGGAAAGTTAAAACTAAATGAACAAATGGAGTGATAGCACTGTAGCTAAGAATCTGGATCATAAGTCACACTTTTGGCATTCCTTCAGGCAGTCATTCTAGGCTACATCAGATAAGAACTGAGTACATGGAAAGCTGCCAAGTGTACCACAGACATCAGTGGAAAAAATCAGTTTTTGTCACACAAATATGAGGACTTTGGTGGCCCATAATGAACACCATGGGGAGAAATGGATGAATGCAAAATGGTATTATTCAATTGCAAATGTGACCCTGTGATATTGCTAAAAGGACAAGGGTGCAACAAAATGGTTAGAACTCAAAGGAAAACCATATGGAATCACCATCTTTTAGTAAGGAAACATAGCAGAAGGAAATAAAAAGCACATCATAATAAGAATGCATATTACACCTCCTTTGAATGGAAAAGCTAAAATGTCCTGGTCTTTGCTCAGTGTGTGTTTACAGCTGTGCCAAACATTCTGAAGATGCTAAGAGATTCTGTTATGAACTGACTATATCCAGGGTGCTTTCTTTTAAGTGCAGAGTCACAGGAACAAAATACCTTGTTCCAGGTGAAGACTTGAATGCTGTTTCCCATTCAGAATAGAGACTGTGCTGGACACCAAGTTGTTCCTGAGGCTGAGTTTACATTAGAGTTGCGAGAGAGAAAATACATGTACAAAGCTGGGTTTTTCTATTTAATTTTCTTGCAAGAAAAGCAACTGATGAAAGGAGGATCATGGATGGACAGTCATGGATGGATTATAAAAGTTAATAACACACCTTGAGTAGCATGTAAAAAGTGCAGGTAAATTACACCCTTTCATTCAGCACACACTTTCTGGCACCTAAATGCCAGGCACTGTGAGAATACAGAGGTCGTATCATATATGGAAATCATATCATGCATGAATTGTGTTACTGAAATGATAATGAACCTTGAAACTTTCATCTAGGTAGGAGTAGCACAATATTTTTTAGCTGCCTTTTGTGTCAGTACTACTAGGAAGAGAGTCAGCTATATATACAGACATTACTGGGTTATGAGTTCAAATTCTAGCTCCAGTGCTCTAACAGCTGTGCAACAGTGGCTGTGCGACAGTGGCTGATTTAACCCTGGAGTCTGTTTCTTTATTGGTACCATTTTAGGAACTTTCGTGTGGATTATATAATATTAGAGTTATATAAAGTATTGGCATACACTCGGTGATCATCAAATGACATGTCTCTCCTCAACCCCCAGGCATACTTCTTTTTTCTCCCTCCCCCAACTCCTCTTTCCCTTCTGGAGGATCTCAGGGAAAGAGAAATCATCTTCCCTGTGAGCCAAGGGAGGATTAACGGTCCTCCAGAAGCTTAAATTCAGGTAATTGTGGACATTCTTTTTTGATATTACACAAAAATTTGACAACTTAGTTTTTTAAAGGTTAGTGTTGCAATGTGGAATCTGAAAGCATATCAGTAAACTTTTTGTAACTCTGTTACATTAAAATCCATTGGTCTATCTTGCACTTTGAATGGACCTTTTGCCCATGCATGATTTTGTACTATGATGCATTATTCATTTGGAAAATACTGGTTCACTGAGTTATGCAGCTCTTCCAAATGTTGACACAGTTCATTATACTATATAAAACAGTCACATTTGTCAAGCTCACAGTGGTAGATAAAATTTAAGACTTTTGTTTGAAAGCTCTAATTTTTATCAGTTGGCAACAAATACTGTCAGCTGTCTTCCTTAAAGTGATAAGCTCAATTCAATCATTTTTGGGAAAACATCTCCAAGGTACCCAAGGCTGAAAACCGTGATTTTTTTCATGGTATACCATGAAAAAAGTGCCTTGTTCAACTCACAACTTAATATATACTTTTCTTTGAGACAACCATCAAATGCTATATGCAGTATAAGTGCTTTATGCATCTTCCCATTTTGTCACACACATAGATATTAAAAAGACACATATATATATTCAAGGATGGAGATTTAACACAATAATATTTTGCTTCCTCAAAGATATTAAGTGAAATTGGTTTTCTTTCTTTTTTTAACTGTGAGTGCATGGCTGTGAATACAATGACTACTGTACCCTACGATGCAAGCAGTTTTACTCACTATTGCTTTTGTACCATCAGTGCAAATGTCACC